AACTTGAATGTGATTTTGGCAAACAAAAACAAAAAGCAGGGTTAAAAGAAGAAAATGTATGCAGTGCAAGGCATCTTTTCAATGGGAATGCTAAGAACATTATAAATTTGAAATAAATTTTAGAGAAGAAAAAAAATCACCATAATGTCATCATAGCACAATTATTTTCATTTGTGTATTTTTTCTTATTTTTCCTATATATATGATTGTTAGATATTTGGACGTATCAAAGACATGCAATTCTGGTATGGGCATTAGTGCTTTGCAGAGTTCATTCGAACCATGGCTTGCGGGACAGACACAGTTCCTACTTAACCTACATGAGGCCGAGTTTTCTAAACTGGAAAATTAGAAATAACAACAGCAACGCAACAACAACAAAGTCTATTACACAGCGTAGTCAAGAGGATTAAGTGAAACAGTCTGTGGAAAGTGTTCAGCACAGCAGCTGTCGCAAAACAAGGGCTCAAGAAATAGTGGCTCTTAAAAATCATTGTTTTCCTCATATTACCTTCTGTCTCACTCAGTTTTTTCTTTCCTCCTAAAACACTTTATATTCTCATTATACTGATTTGAAATACCAGGAAATAGGCAGATAAACTCCAAAGAGACAAATATCAGCAGAGCACATGGCATCTTCCAAAAGTTAAGCACAATCATTAACGGATGCAGGCTCTGAAATCTGACAGTCCTGATTCCGTGGATGTGGGAGCCAATGTCGTTGATGTGGTACAGTACCAATAACTGCTTCCCTCTACCCAGTGGCATAAGAAGACACAGGCACAGAGGCTTCTGTCCTCCCCCATTGTAGACGGTGGTCCAGAAACACCAGGCAACCCAGGGAAACACTGTTTGTGCCTGCAGACAGCACCAGGAGGGAAGCCACGGCAATACCAGAAGGAAAGAGGAGAGCCAGGGCTCTGAAAGCTAAACTGTCATTGGCACTAATGCCCACAATATAGGCCAGAATCTACTCACTAAACCTAAACAGATTGACAACATGCTAAAATAAATGTGCATAGCACCTAGACTCTCCTAGCATAATAACTAAAACATCCAGGATACAATAAAAAAATCACCTGTCATGCCCCAAGCCAGGAAAACAATAATCTGAATGAGAAAAGATACTTAACCAATGACAATACTGAGATTAACCACATGTTGGAATTATCTGATAACAATTATAAAGCAGTTATTGTAAAAGTGCTTCAAGAATTCTAAATTATCCTGAAACCAATAAAAAATTAGAAAATCTCAGTAAAAACAAACAAAAACATAGAAGTTATAAAAAAGAACCAAGTTGAAATAAAAGAACTAGAAAATACAATCATTGAAATAAAAAACTCCCTGGATGGTCTCAGTAGTAGAGTGGAGATAGATGACGGAGAATAGACGAAGTGCATTTGAAGACAGATCAATAAAATCTACTCATCTTGAACAAGAGAGGAAGAAAAATAGACTGGAAAAATGGACAGAGCCTCAGGAATCTGTGGGACAATAACAATCTAATAATCTAACATTTGTGTTACTGGAGTCTCAGAAGGAGAGGAGGAAGAGTATGAGACTGAAAAAGTATTCCCAGAAATAATGGTTGAAAATGCCCCAAATTTGATAATAGATATTACATATCTATACTTAACTTCATACAATTATGATTAATATAACACTTCACATAAAATGGAGAAAACTTGCAGTCATATAGGTCCTTCAATCTCTATATCCTGATACAGTTGCCACATTATATATCTACATGCATTATAAATTTCATAAAACAAGATTATAAATTTTTGCTTTAAACAATCCCATATATGTTAAAGAAACTAAGAGGAAAAAATATTTTCTATTTATTCAGATATTTGCCATTTCATATTTTCTGCAGTGCTTCTGAAAGATTTGAATTTCCACATGGTATCATTTCCTTTTACCATTCACTTCTATGAGCATAGTTATATAATAGCTGCTCTAAAGCCCTTGTTTGCTAATTCCAACATCTGGGTCATCTTCGAGTGTGTAGCTAAACGAATTTTCCCATAGGCTAATTGATAAAAGCAAGAGGAGTTAAGTTCCTACAGCATACTTTGGGTCACAAAAACATTACCACACTTCTAATATTAATTAAAATAAAAGTGAGCTATATACATTTAAGAAAGATTAATAAAAACAAGTAAGATAATTATTTCCCCAATTTTTGGTGAACTCCTGAGTGACAGTGGTTGTAGCGGTGGTGGGTTAAGTCAAGGCATAAATGTTTGCAAAGGAAAATTGTCATGAGCACCTCTTCCCACCACGCAAAGACCAAATACTAACAAGTACAGCAGTAGCTGAGCATTTCATACTGCATTGTTTATTGTGCATTTGTACAATTATCTCCCACTTGAAAATTTTTTATTTTACAATAATTTGTACTAATTCATTTTCCAACCCAGCCCAGCGTCAGGGTGGCCGGAGCCTGTCCCCGCAGGTCAGGGCCCAGGCGGGCCGGGGCCCTGGCCAGCAGCGGTCCCCTCGCAGGGCGTCACACCCACACCCGCTCACACAGGACCGTGCACACACGCCGGTGCACCTGACGGTGCCGCTTTGGGACCTGGGAGGAACCTGCAGTCCCCTGAGAAAACCCACGCAGACGTGGGGAGAATGTGCAGCTTCCACACAGAAGGGTGCCCTGGCTGGAAAGCGTTTTTTTTCCAACATTATAAAACCATGTTGAACGAAAGGACGTTATCCGAGGACATGGTGTATTCTTCTAAAAAGCATGGATGTTTTTGTCTCGGTGGCCAATTAATTTGGTTAGATTCGAACTGCACGCTCTTTCTTTGCTGGCAGAATCAATCTTGGTTCATTCTTTGATCTTCAGCTGCTCTGTGTCCCGCTGGTCCCACGTATATGTGGTCCAGGCGTCAACGACAAGGATGGAGCTAGTTTACACACAGAACTTGGGGCCCCCTCTCTCAATGTCCTTTCTGAGATCTCCCCCTTGCGTCCCTGTTGCTGGTTACCGAAACTGCTGATTCTTCAGGCGAGAAAGGCTTTGGGTTTTCTGCTGACATTCTGGCCAGCCTGCTTGATACTGATCTCGTTCTGCTCTCAGGATAAAAGCTGTAAAAAATGGGAAATCACCTCCAGCTGGTTCCTTCGTCCGAATTTTATACCCTTCAAGAATCTGCCTACTTTGGTTCTCTCTCCAGTGTTGTTTTTTGTTTTGTCCAGAATTAGAGTCATCTGTGGAAAGGTTGGGTTCAGATGGAGCTTTCCAGGGCACAGTGAAAGCAGGAACCCCCTTGAGATTTTGATGGGAAATTTTGTTAAAACTCAAAATTAAATTTGGAAGAGTTTTTAAATACATTCATCCTTTCCAAATAAAAACCTGTTTTTGTTCTTGTTTGAACCAGAATCCATCTGGTTCTTTGGTGCTTCATGGTAAAATTTTCTTCGTATAGATCCTGCACATTTCTTATTAGATAAGGATCTAAATTTATCATATTAAAACCTATTGTGCTTCATTTGCCTATATTTCCTTTTAATTAATTTGAACATTTTTGGAGACTGGACTTTATGGAAGTCCTTTTTGCAATGGGCTTTTTCCTTCCTTGTTGCAAAATTAAAGTATCCTTCTTAATGCACAGCCTACATACTTCACACTGGGTCAGCTAGGACTGTCAACTGTCCGGTCCAGTTCCTGCTCTGCCCTGCAGAGTGGCTGCCTTGCTGAGCTCTTTGGGTTAACATCACTGATCTTAGGTTGGTTCTGTCTTTTTAGCGTAGAGTTAAAGCACTTACAAGACTAAGAAATATGCTCTGTTCTTGATAATAATTTCATACTCTGTTCAAACTTAACGTTTGTTGAACAGAATAAAAAATGCATATATTCTTTTTCATAAAGGCGATCTCACTTTAAAAATTTTATTTTAAGAAAACAAGAAATACTTTTAATCATACGTTATAAATAGTGGTAGCACCTGAGAAAAGTATTCACAGAGTATCTTATTATTTTATTGTGCTGCATAAGCCTAAAACAAAATCCCTGCTTCCCCAAAGCTACAAGAGACCTAGAGCATACTAAAAATACTTTATTGTCATTACTAAATGCATGAAATATACATTCTAGATGGAATATGCTGTACATCTGATGAAACACACAGAGCATTCATCAAGGTAAAAGGAAAACACATAGCCACAGGATGGAAAGATGGCGCATATTTTAAAAAAAATGGAACATTCTCAAATATTGTATAACTTTTCAACTTACCATAGATATTCTCCAACCTTTCTATTAAACAAAAGGAAACTAAACATTACACACAGTTTGAAGAGATTAAATGCCAGATATTCTACAGAAGGAGAAAATATTAGCATCCTGGTATAATTTTTATTCCTGGCCCATTTTCTGCCCACTGGAAAAAATTGCACTGCTTTTCCTTCCCAAGAGGACACACGAAGAAATTCTTTCCATTATTAGGTCCGATCTTCAACACCGTTCTCATGATGGAGCGTTTGCCATGGCTGCAAAGTGGGAAGGACAAATCTGCCCACTGTGGTGGGAAGAAGATAAGACGGAAGTTACAATGATGTACAGGTTAAGCCTGGGCTCATTTGATTAGTGCCGTGTTGCCTTCTTTACTGTTACCATTAATTTGACATTGTAAAACAGACGGAAGTCATTAGCTGTTGCCCTTAAAAAAGCTTATATCCTATAAGAAGCATCTCTAACAAATTTGTTTGAATTACATAGAAAATTGCCATAATTTTAAGCTTCCCTTTATGTACGGGTTTCCTTCACTTTAGTAAGAATAATTGAAAACTGCCAGAATCTGGCTGTAATCACCAGTCTCCCCTCTATCGGTCTATTTTAGTTAAAACTATAAGATCAAATATTTGTCATGATTCTAAGACTAAACTTCCTTAGTCTCTTAGGAAAAGAAAGAACCCGATAGGGACTTACTTGGACTAAATTAGACAGATTACATTATTCTTATTAATTTTGGCCTCACAAGAGGTATGAAGTAAGCTACTATATTTTTAGCAACATTATGAATACTGCTAGTGATGTTTTCTCCGTTACATCTATACAAGCTCTTTAGGAGGAAATCTGTGAATTTAGTAGGATAGAGTCACATTCTGTTCAGGGACTGAGATCTAAAATCACTATCCTATTTCCCCTGGTAAATTCTTAGGAAGGGATCACATTGAACACAGGGTATTTTGTCTCACAGTAAGCCCAACCAGAAAATTTTTGCTACTGCACTGAAAACAGCGATATTTTCTTTTTTCACTTCCATTCCTGATAAAGCATAACTTGGAATCATATGTGTCTTAAAATGCTAGAATCGTACTCCGCATGGTGAGATGCTCACACTGAGGAAGGTGGAGAGACTAAAAGGATCCCAGGTTTGTGTCTCCCATTTCAGATTCACTTTCAGGGACACACCCAGAAACTGGGAGGGCATGAGGAGTCCCCTATAGCCAGATGATTGTTATTGAGCCATCACTTTTTGGTCAAGCTTGTGTAGTAGGATTTGCTACTGTTACTGTAAATCTCAGACATGTAATTGTGCTTCTTGTATACTGGTGCATAAACCAAAGGTTTTGATGTAGCACTGAAGTTTAGAAGAATTAATTCTTATCTTGGATTACTAGCTACATAAGTACTACTAGTACTTACTAATCATTCAATATCTTCTATTTTGTTATAAGCCAAGGGCAACACTTCTAGACTTGTGGTGACAAACATGACAATATGAAATACTCTAATAATCTAATAGCTATTATTTCTTTAAAATTTTTTTTGCTGAACGTCTTTGAATTTTAAGTTATTCAACATTCAAGCTTTAGACTGAATACTGACATGGCTATTTAAAATGTTTAGGTAAAACTAGAAAAACATTGATACTTCTTACATTTTAATAATCAAAGTATACGATTACATTGTAGTAAGCTACATAAATCTTACACGTACTTCAAAAAATCCACATTGTGCTTCCCTAGGTAGAGGACAAGCATAAAACTGCCTGCCCTTGTTCTCGCCATCCTTCCTCACGACTCGGAGCACGCAGAGGCGGTTGTGTTTACTGCAGCGAGGCCTGCCAGTATTTAAGGTACAAGGACCATCTGTCATATTAATTTGAAGTTTGCTGTAATGACAGGTTACAAAGTAACTACAGCATAATAGTGCTAAAGGGATCATTCACATCTCACCCCCACATGTTAGAATTTCACTCACACAAAGAGATTATATCAAGAAGTGGACCTTGGTCGACTTTAGGTAATTACACAAACTATTGTGTTTTTAATTCTTTGTTTTCCTAGGTAATTCTAACTCACTTCCAAAGCTATTCATGTACCCAAAACAAATAATTTAAATTTCCAAAGAATAAAAACAACCACATTGTACACCTAGTACATCAGATTTTCTTAGTTTTCATTTGTAATATTCAGTTCTCGTTTTACCCAATATTACGGTGTGGCTACTTTTATTTCCTCTAAAATATTCTCAAGTCCAGCTGTCTCCCATCCTCCAAGGTAACTAGATCACAATCTTCTCTAATTATTTTCTCATCGGTAGCACACTCTCATCAATGGCTCTGACAAGGCCATAGAGATCACTCTCCCTACTGTCCACTTTAAAGACAATTTTCTATGCTTTTCTTTGATGAAGGCTACTGTGATAGTCGCAATCATATTCCAGCAAGAAACAGGCTGCCTGGCAGGGCAGAAATGTGAATTCTGCAAAGCTAGTGGGGAAGGTTTATTCTCCCCCACAATTAGAATTGAGAGTATGTGGAGGTTATCCCCACACATCGGGCAAAGGCTAGAAGCTGGCCTTGCACTGTAGCTGTATCAGCAGAATCTTCTCTTTGAAAAGGAGCTTCATTATTATTTTTAATTTTCTATATTGTGCATATTTTACTAATGCCTTTATGGGAGTTAGTCTTTTAATACATCAGTTGAAGAGAAAAAGTGTTCACATTAATTAAAACCAGAAGTCCCT